GCAGGCTTCCCACTGAGCAGGGAGCCCAATGCGGGGCTCGATCCCAGGACCCTGGGATCATGACCTGAGCCGAAGGCAGACGCTTAACGACTGAGCACCAGGCGCCCCTCATTCTTAGTTTTTAGAAATTAAGGACATTTTTACAACATTACATCCCAGCTTTGTTTTCATTTCTTCCCTTTTTGATTTTTATAAAGATAAATAAAAATGCATTTAATTCAGAAGGTCAAGGCTTTTCAGAGCCCTTTGTGAAAATCTCTACTCCAGTACCTTGTTACTGTGATAAATCCTGTGCGCTCTTCCAGGGACCAGGCGTTACTCACTTTTGTATAGTGCTTGGCACGTAGTAGGAACACAGTGAATGTTAGCTGACTAAGGAGCAGAGTTAAAAATGTAATGACTTCGGGTTTGTTTTGGCAGTTTTAGTTTAATGGGACAATAAGAAAGTGAATAGTTCATGTGCAAAATGCATGTTCTAGAAGAATATTGGAATGGAGCCACTTGTGGTGTGGAAGGTTGGCTCTGTAGTTTGCTAAATCTCCCCGTTCTCCTTACCTGTTTGAGCTCTGTGCCGTTCTGTTCTTCCTTTCACCTCCAGAGTTCTAAAAGAGGAGTCTGTACTGACTGTTTTCCTTCACTGCTCCAGTTATTCTTTGAACCTTTGCAGCCTGGTTCCCAACCTTACTGAAGCTTTTTCCAAGGTTGCCAATTACCTAATGGTTAAAAATCCCAGAACATCTTTTCGGGATTTATCCTGTTAAGTCTCCCTGCAGCAGTCAGTCCTTTTGAGTACCTCCTCCACCCCTTTAAAAAAATAACAGTAACCTTAGCTTTTAGTATGTGAATGTTAACACGTGTATAGATTCATGTAAACACCACCACTATCAGGATACAGAGTGGTTCCATCATCCCCAAAAAACTTCCTCGTACTGTATTCCTTTTTGATTCACCTTCCTCCTCGCTTCTATCCCGGAGATAAACAAACACTAAGGGTCAGACCTAGCCTCCTTTTGTTGTTGTTGTTGTTTTATTTTTCTCTGTCTTCTCTTGGAATATGTTATTTACTTTGGGACTTAAAACCATCTGTCACGTTTGTATCTGCTAACCTGCATATCCATGTCTGACCTCTCTTCTATACTTCCAAAACAACATCAATATTTACCTGCTGGAATTCTTCACTATTCCTTCATACTCAGTATGTTTAAAGTTTTGTTTGACTTTGCCTCCTAAACCAGCTCTTCCATCAGATTTTTCTGTACTTTTTGGTGATGCCATCCTCCTCCCTGCTTGGAACCCTGCAACACTTGGAGGGCCTTATAATAAACTCTCTTATCCCAGACCCGGAATCCTGCTGCTCATCTACAAATATTGGCTCCTGCCCCTTTGCTGCCGAGCTGGCTCCCATTCAGTAGTCTGAGCAGAGCATAGGTAACTGGAGTACTTAGAACGCCATTGCGATTGGACCACTTCTCTGGTCAGAACCCCTTGTGGCTTCCCATTGCGCTGAGGCCCGTTGGGGATTTTATTTTTCATCCTTTGAGGCTCGGTAAGATCTGGCCTCTGCCTGCCTCTCCAACCTTCTCTCATCCCTATTATGGCTCACCCCCCTTTCCGATGTCCCAATCACTCGGTCTTCCTTTCAATTCCTTGAATTACCCAAGCCTTTTGAAGGCTTAAGGTTTTTGTACATACCACTCTCCTGGCTTGGGCTGTTCTTCCCCCTGCTTCCTCCCTAATCTTCACCCATTGACTTCAGGGTTCAGGTTACATTGTCATTTCTTCAGAGATGCTTTCCTTTATGACCTCCCCCCACCCATCCACCCTCAGTCAGGTCTTTCAGAGCTCCTGTTCCTTTTTCATAGCTCTCACCACAATTTGTGATTCAGGACCATGTCTGTTTTGTTTCCCCATGTCTCCAGAGCCGAGCCAAGTATCAGGCGTACAGTAAACTCCCAGTAAATATTTGTTGGCTGTGTTGTGAGTCTGGATTTTGCTTTTATAATTTATTGCTTTCTTGTAGTTCCTGGTAGCCTTGCCTTCCACCTCCTACCTTCTCTGGGACTTGATCTCACTGCTGGAAGTCTTGCCACACAGAGATAGATCTGAAATTGCTGAAGAGGACACTGATCCTGTTCTCCTTCTGAATTGTGCCTCTGCCTGGGAGCCCTTTTACCACTGAGCCATACTAGATCCAACCCAAACTGGCTGAGTTTGCTAGGTCCACTGAGTAGTGCACCTTGATTATCCAGGCTGGGGCCAGTGCTTGCAGCTGTTATTCTTCGCTCACCAATCCCTGCTCTTGATTTCTTCTTCCTCTCTCCACCCGGCCTGTGGCTTCTAAAGACCTTGTCTACTTTCCAGCTGAACCTGCTTACCCTTTGACATTTGCCAGCCTTTTGACATTGACAACTACAGATCT